TGCGCTTTGCACCCCTCTTTCTCTCTCGCTTTTTCTCTTTCTCTCTGTGCACCCCTCTTTCTTTCTCGCTTCTCTCTCTCTGCACCCTCTTTTTCTTTTCTCGCTTTCTCTCTTCTCTCTGTGCACCCCCTCTCTCGCCTTTTTCTTGTCTCTCTTGCACCCCTCTTTCTCTTCTCGCTTTTTCTCTTTCTCTCTTGACCCCTCTTTCTCTCTCGCTTTTTTCTTTCTTCTGTGCACCCCCTCTTTTCTTTCTCCGCTTTTTCTCTTTCCCTCTGTGCACCCCTCTTTCTTTCTCGTTTTCTCTCTTTCTCTCTGTGCACTCTCTTTTCTCTTTCTCTTCTCTGTGCACCCCTCTTTCTTCTCGCTTTTTCTCTTCTCTCTTTGCACCCCTCCTTTCTTTCTTCGCTTTTTCTCTTTCTCTCTGTGCACCCTCTTTCTTTCTCGCTTTTTCTCTTTCTCTCTGTGCACCCCCCTTTATCTCTCGCCTTTTCTCTTCTTTCTCGCTTTTTCTCTTTCTTCTCGTTTTTTTCTGTGCATCCTCTTTCTTTCTCGCCTTTTCTCTTTCTCTCTTGCACCCCCTCTTTCTTTCTCGCTTTTTTCTCTTTCTCTCTGTGCACCCTCTTTCTTTCTCGCTTTTTCTCTTTCTCTCGCACCCTTTTCTTCTCTTTTTCTCTTTCTCTCTGTGCATCTCCTCTCTTTCTTTCTTCGTTTTTCTCTTTCTCTCTGTGCACTCTTTCTCTCTTTCTCTTTCTCGCTTTTTCTCTTTCTCTCTGTGCACCCTCTTTCTTTCTCGCTTTTTCTCTTCTCTCTCTGTGCACCCCTCTTTCTTTCTCGCTTTTTCTCTTTCTCTCTGTGCATCCCCTCTCTCTTTCTCGCTTTTTCTCTTTCTCTCTGTGCTCCCCCTCTTTCTTTCTCGCCTTTTCTCTTTCTCTCTGTGCTCCCCCTCTTTCTTTCTCGCTTTTTCTCTTTCTCTCTGTACATCCTCTTTCTTTCGCTTTTTCTCTTTTCTCTCTGTGCACCCTCTTTCTTTCTCGCTTTTTCTCTTTCTCTTCGTGCACCCCTCTTTCTTTATCGCTTTTTCTCTTTCTCTTCTCTTCTCGCTTTTTCTCTTTCTCTCTGTGCACCCCTCTTTCTTTCTCGCTTTTTCTCTTTCTCTCTGTGCACCCCTCTTTCTTTCTTGCTTTTTCTCTTTCTCTCTGTGCACCCCCTCTTTCTTTCTCGCCTTTTCTCTTTCTCTCTGTGCACCCTCTTTCTTCTCTCGCTTTTCTCTTTCTCTCTGTGCACCCTCTTTCTTCTCGCTTTTTCTCTTTCTCTCTGTGCACCCCTCTTTCTTTTCTCGCTTTTTCTCTTTCTCTCTGTGCACCCCTCTTCTTTCTCGTTTTTCTCTTTCTCTCTGTGCACCCCCTTCTTTATCGCTTTTTTCTCTTTCTCTCTTGTGCACCCCTCTTTCTTTCTCGCCTTTTTCTCTTTCTCTCTGTGCACCCCTCTTTCTTTCTCGCTTTTTCTCTTTCTCTCTGTGCACCCCTCTTTCTTTCTCGCCTTTTCTCTTTCTCTCTGTGCAACCCTCTTTCTCTGCTCGCACCCCCTTTCTTTCTCGCTTTTTCTCTTTCTCTCTGTGCACCCCTCTTCTTTCTCGCTTTTCTCTTTCTCTTGCATCCCTCTTTCTTTCTCGCCTTTCTTCTCTCTGCACCCCTCTTTCTTTCTCGCTTTCTCTCTCTTTCTTTCTCTCTTCTCTCTCTGTGCTTTCTTCTCTTTTCTCTTTCTCTCTGTGCACCCCTCTTTCTTTCTCGCTTTTTCTCTTTCTCTCTGTGCACTCCCTCTTTCTTTCTCGATTTTCTATTTCTCTCTGTGCACCCCTCTTTCTTTCTCGCTTTTTCTCTTTCTCTCTGTGCACCCCTCTTTCTTTCTCGCTTCTCTCTTCTCTTCTGTGCACCCCTCTTTCTTTCTCGCTTTTTCTCTTTCTCTCTGTGCACCCTCTTTCTTTCTCGCTTTTTCTCTTTCTCTCTGTGCACCCCTCTTTCTTTCTCGCTTTTTCTCTTTCTCTCTGTGCACCCCTCTTTCTTTCTCGCTTTCTCTCTTTCTCTCTTTGCACCCCTCTTTCTCTCTCGCTTTCTCTCTGTGCACCTCTCTTTCTTTCTCGCCTTTTATCTTTCTCTCTGTGCACCCCTCATTCTTTCTCGCTTTTTCTTTTTCTCTCTGTAAACCCCTCTTTCTTTCTCGCTTTTTCTCTTTCTCTCTGTGCATCCCTCTCTCTTTCTCGCCTTTTCTTTCTCTCTCTGCACCCCTCCTCTTTCTCCTTTCTCTTTCTCTCTGTGCACCCCTCTTTCTTTCTTGATTTTTCTTTCTCTCTGTGCACCCTCTTTCTTTCTCGCTTTTTCTCTTTCTCTCTGTGCACCCCTCTTTCTTTCTCGCTTTTTCTCTTTCTCTTTCATCCCCTCGTTCTTTCTCGCCTATTTTCTCTTTCTTCTCGTTTTTCTCTTTCTCTCTGTGCACCCTCTTTCTTTCTCGCTTTTTCTCTTTCTCTCTTTGCACCCCTCTTTCTTTCTCGCTTTTTCTCTTTTCTCTGTGCACCTCTTCTTTCTCGCTTTTCTCTTTCTCTCGCTTTCTCGCTTTTTCTCTTTCTTTCTGTGCACCCCTCTTTCTTTCTCGCTTTTTCTCTTTCTCTCTGTGCACCCCTC